TAATTACGAAAATTTTGTTATGTAGAATATGTTGGTTGTTATAGTGTGAATATGTTCGTTGTGTACTTTGTTGTGGTTGTAATGTGAATTGGAACAATGTTGGTTAATTATGTTTATAGTGTGAATATCTTGGTTGTTTTTGTGCGAATTGGTGGAGATTGCATGCAATTAAGATGTGTTTTTGGTTGTTGTATAGAATATGGCTGCACAAAACGCAGCTTTGTTATGCCGATGGGGGGGGGGGGTGAATTTGTGTCTGATGGACCGAATGTCCAATATAGTGGTGGAAATATGGAACCATTGCCACTTGGACCGGACATGACTTTCAACGATCTGATGAACGAGGTTCATAGCATTATTGGCTTAAACCCAATGAATGTACAACTTAACATTCAAATGAGGTTTGAGACTAATAATGCGGTTCAAGTGTTACCTTGTTCTAACGATAGACATTTGAAAGCTTTGAGGAGCGCTGTTTTAATGAGGGGTTATCCACATGAGATATATGTAGAAATAGTGTCTACGTGTACGCAACAAAGTACTCGACCAGATCAACAAGCTACCTATTTTTCCGGTTACACAGAGTCCTTCCGAATGCCCTCACAAGACATTCCATCAACTGAATATGGGATGGGGTCTTTCAGCAGACTGCTTCATGACGATCGGTTCCAGATGCCGTTGAGTTCACATATAGCTTCACCTGTATATGGTGGAACATCTACGACAATGTTTGGTCAATCTGGGCCTTCGACATCGAGCACAGTTATATCTTCTCCCATGCAACTCCAAAGTTATTCACCTACGCAGCATGATGATCATACATCACCGTCTCAACCATTGGTGAATCATCTTGAAAATCTACAACATATGGTGAATAACGAATTGTCTCTGTATGATGCGCTCCGGGAAACAAATGATGAGGCTGAGAGCGAAGAGGAGGAACCAATTCTGGATAACATGGATGTTGATTCTACAGACATGGAAGGTGGGGAGGCCATGGTTAGAACTCCTATTCCTTGGTTAAGTCAAGTAAATGCGAATTATGAGGTTGATCAATATTGGGCCGAATCAGGTAGTCATACAACATTTGTGATCGGGGGGGAGTTTGAGAAGGGTATGTTCTTTGAATCTAAGAAACTGCTTCAGGAAATGGTAAAGAAGTATTCTATACAAAGGAACCAATTCTACACCATAGTGACCTCGAATGAGAAGGTCCTTCATCTGCGGTGCAAGAAGAATTGTGGTTAGTCGCTACGAGGCACCAAAAACAGTGAGCACTCAGACGGCTTTACCATAGTCACATACAAAGGCCCGCACCGGGACACCTGTGTCACTGAAGTATTATCTACAGATCATGCACACTTGGATTCATCCATAATTTCCGATTTTGTGAAGTCTTTTGTGCAGAAAGATCCATGCTTGAAAGTTGAATTTATACAGGAACTCATATCCAAGCATTTTCAGTTCGACGTTACTTATCGAAGAGCATGGTATGCTAGGGAGAAAGCCATAGCTGAAGTATTTGGAGATTGGGAGAGTTCTTATGGACGACTTCCGCACTTCATGGAAGCACTCAAACAGTCAAACCCGGGAACCGTTGTTGTATGGAAACACAAAGCTCTGGTAGACGGTGTTTATTACAGCAACATGGAAGTGTTTGAACGAGTATTTTGGGCCTTCGGCCCTTGTGTTGAAGGTTTTAAACATTGTATGTCTGTCATCTGTATCGATGGGACGCATTTGTACGGGAAATTTAAAGGAACATTGTTGGTTGCTACAAGTGTGGATGCAAACTTCCAAGTATTTCCGCTTGCATTTGCGTTAGTCGAAGGGGAAAACATTTCCAGCTGGTCTTGGTTTCTGGGCTGCATTCGGGTTCATGTCACTCAACGGGATGGCCTCTGTGTTATATCTGATCGACATGCTGGGATCATTGCAGCAATGAATGACCCTAACGTTGGATTCACCGAGCCGCGAGCCTATCAAAGGTTTTGTGTTCGGCACTTGGCTTCTAACTTGAAGACTCACGTGCGAAGAAACGACATGAGAGATATGTTCAAGGCTGCTGCGTACCAAAGGCAGGAAAGAAAACTGGTAGCTGATATGAGTTTGATCGGTCAGGCGTGTACCAAGGCCATACAGTATATTGTCTAAGTGCCCTTGCCTATGTGGTCTTTGTTTCACGATGCTGGTCGCAGATATGGGATATGTACTACGAACTTCTCAGAAACATTTAACAATGTGTTGAAGGGTGCTCGATTTCTACCTATCATGTCCCTTGTTGAATTAACATTCCACAGAGTCAATAAGTATTTCACTGATACAAGGGAATTATCTCAGGCTAGATCTGAACAGGGACTTGCATACTCCCCCAAAGTCACATCCATGATGGAGAAAAACATTGCAAAGGCTAGATATCACAAAGTGGAAGCGTATAACCGTCGACTGCATATATATCAAGTTGAAACAAAGAGGGGAGATAGAATTGGTAGAAAAGGAGGCCATAGACATACTGTTAACTTTCAGTTAAGAATGTGCACATGCAATAAACCACGGATCTTCCACCTCCCATGTTCTCATGTTCTAGCTGTTTGTGTGAAGTATTCGATATCAGAGCGGCCATGGGTGGACCGGGTACTGCAATCAGAGGCCTACGCAAACACATACGCTCCCCAATTCTGGCCTATCCCTTGTGAGACGACATGGAGAGAGAATGGAGGGCCTAAAATCATTCCCGACAACAGCATGGTACGAGGACGATCATGGCGGCCACTCTAGTCACTCACAGTTCGAGGCTGGCCAGAGTAGCTGTGGGGGTGATCCTTCGTCATTCACGGGCGCAGAGGAGTACGAAATTCGCAGTTCCGCGCCCCTACGTCATCCTGATGACCCATCTTCCAGCCAGCTGACTCCGCCAGTACGCCCGAACCCATTTACCACTGTCCGTCACTACAGCCGTCGTCAAAGGCCGAGAGTGGACATACAGGATAGAGAGCCGTTACACCAAATTGATGAGTCAGAATAGGATAGAATTATCTGATTTATTTGCTGTAATGACCTTCTCTAGTTTGTTGTACATAACACTTACATTACATTATTATTTGAATAATTATTTGAATGAATTTATGTCTTGTTTGAATTTCAAATTCCTTATTTGTCCACGTTTGACTCATTTCGTTCAAAATAAATTGTGGATGTGGAGGTGGTGGATGTGGAGGAGGAGGGTGGTGGTGGTGGTGGTGGATGTGGAAGAGGAGGGTGATGGTGGTGGTGGATGTGGATGAGGAGGGTGGTGGAGGATGTGGAGGAGGAGGGTGATGGTGTTGGTGGATGTGGAGAGGGTGGTGGATGTGGAAGGGGGCTGCACTGGCTGCTGTTGGGGGCCTGCTGTTGCTGCCTTCAGTCAGCAGATAAAACGCTGACTGAGGCAGCGTTTTATGCTTAGGTGTAAAACGCTGACTTAGTCAGCGTTTTTTTCTGTTATGGATACAAGAAAAACGCTGACCGAGTCAGCGTTTTACTGTATTTCCAATTTTTTTTTTAAATTTGTATTTCACATAATACGAAATTTTATAAAAAAAAATAATAACCAAAGGTAAAACGCTGACCGAGGCAGCGTTTTATGTCAGAAGCTCAGTTTCGTAAATAGTTTGGCCACGCGTCTAGATTGGTAAATTGTTTGCCAATTAAGCTTACTTTCGTAAAAAATCCTCTATGCATGCATGTATAAAGTGTCTTTCTGCAACTTGGGGCATGTTCAATAAGATTGGGCCTATCAATTGCCCTTACTACTTTGTCTAGCATCCTAGTGACATATTTTATGATTTGATTAGTGTCATCGTTTTAAGTAACCCTGATTAATAATGCATGCTAAGAGAATTGATATGGAGTACCTAGGGGTGAAAGTTCGGTTTGCAGTGTGATTTATAGCCAAACGAAACCAAATCACATTAATTCGGTTTTGAGAATTTTCAAACCACACCGCACTATATTACTATTAAAACCGAACCAAACCACACCGTTTTAAATTCGGTTTCTCAAAAGAAAACTGAACCACACCAAAAAATTTCATCCTCTTCCTTTTTGCTTCATATAACTGGTCATTCACTCCAACATCGCCCATATTGATTGACATTCTAAGACATAAAAAAACACAAGTTTTATTATTTTTTGGCTTTATATATGTAGGGTAGAAATTATATATATATGCTAGGCTATAATTTAGACATGAGCCATAATTCGGTTTGGATTTCGGTTTTTGGTTTTTCAAATCTTAAAACCATATTAATTCGGTTTTGGGATTCCTCAAACCGCAACGAACCGTATTACAAAAAAAAACCGCACCATATTTCTAATTCGGTTTGGTTTGCGGTTTGGTTCGGTTTTAAACCGCATTAGTTTCACCCTTAGGAGTACCTATAAAGAGACTTATATTTCCTTTACGAAACCTGTAAATATTTCAAATGAGTTTTTAACACCTACCCAACCAATAGGTTCATTTTAGACGTGTTATTCGATTTCTATTCAAAAAAATTTCTGCTCTACTTTTTTACTATCTCCGTTATATATTAGTTGCTATGGGGTATTATTTGAGAGCCATAAAATATTCCAAAGTTACAACTAATATGTAACAGAGGTACTAATTTCTTGCCCTTGTGTCTTTATTTGAGAACTCGCGGAGAATGAAAGGCAAACGCCGCAAACTTAACTTTTTGGCCGGAATCCATCATTAAGGTATCATTTTTTTTTAAAAAAGAATTTAATTCAAGGTATTAGACTATTAGTTCACAAACAAAAAAAAAAAAAAAAAAAAAAGTAAGATACTCATTTATAAATTGATTTTAATAAGGTATTTTATGATAATTTTGCGTAAAACTAATTTATTTTAGTTGTAATTTGAATTGGAATAACATTTGTCAGAACTTATTTTTTTCTGTATTGAATTTATTAAATCTTAAATAAGTTAATGTTTTATTTTTTTAGCGGAACCTTAAATAAGTTATTGAAGACACTTTAAACACGCCTTAAAACAAATCACCGGAACTCCCTTCTTTTCTCTCTCTCTTTTTCTCGCTCCGAACTAAATCGGGGATTCGAAAACTCAGGATCGTCCAAGGTCATCTTCAGAAATTTTGAAGCTCATTTTTCTACTGTTAATTCATCTAAGTTTTTTTTTTTTCGGTAAATTTCTCTCTCTAACTAACTTCTCTCTTTTAAGTAACCACAATTTCATGGCCGATCCATGCTTTATCTCTCACATTTTCTCTCTGGTCTAGTTAATTCGACTTTTAATTGTTTATGTCAATTTAATCTAATTTTTTGTGATTCGATTTTGATTTTGTTGTTTTTTGGATTTCAACTGCAGGAGAATATTTGATTGAAAGTTTTTCTAGGGTTTCTGGACGTGTTTAATTAATGGCTGCTCCACCTGCGAGAGTTGCGCTGTTTATGATTATCTAATCAATCTCCTCTGAATCGGCGATAGTGGTAATGTATATATTGTGTGATTGAAAATGTTTTTTTTTTTTTTTTTTTTTTTTTTTGGCTGTTTCTCAGTTTGTAATCGAATTGATTGATTCGTAATATTTGTGGCACTGTGTGTTTTTGGATGAATCTGGTATGCGAGTGTGAAAAATATATGTGAAAAAGACTGCCAAATTATGTTGCCATATTCTAGTAAATTTTTGCATGATTTTTGATGATTCTGGAATGAATGATAATTTGAGGATAGTTGTAGTTGAAATAGGAGAAATTTTAGAAGATGAATAAATTGATATAATTATATGGTCTTAGTTATATTTGAAGATGACTTATTATCTGTTTCGTGTTTTTTGTTTGAGAAACTCATATAGTCATCTACTACGTATATATGTTTATCGTGTTCACCGTACAGTTTGGAAAGGAATGCGTTTTGTTTCCTATGGAAATACCTTTCCATCATTGTTTGCTATTTGCAATTTGTTGTTTTAAGAAATTTTGGCGAATTCTTAAAATTCTGCTCATTGCTCACTGCTTCCGTTGGTCTTTGGATCCCGCATTTTACTGATGAAAGCAACCTCCAATATGTATATTTGTGGTGCTATGTTGTTTCATTGGCTCCATTTGATTGGGAGATATAGAATAGAAAGAGAAAATTGACTGTCTTCCAAGTAGGTTTCATGCTGTTAGCAGCTATTCTAAACCTTTGCTGTGATTTGTTATATCTGTGATTAACTCTGTGTAGCATGTTAAAAGTGGGTTCTTGGCACCTTGAGCCATAAGGTTCACATTTTTTAAAAGCAACACTTGTAAAAATGACATCATCCCTTATCTCTGCAGCCTTTATTGTGCCATGATATGCATTAAATATCTATTAGTGGGTGATAGTAATCATTTTTAAGAGCTACAAAGTATATGATAGTCTTATTGGTATGGCCGATAGATGACATTTTTTAGTTAGTGTCTTATATGCAGTTTAAATACTATGCTACAACATCTGGTTAAGCAACTGGTGATGGTCTCTTTCCAGGCTGGTTCATATTTTGGCCTGAAAAGACTAACTTGTTGCTGTTATTACTACTAATTCATGATTCACTTATGTGTCGTCCTGTGTGTTGTGAAGTCATGCTCTGTATATTTGGCGCTGGTGTAATCTTATTTGCCATTAGGACACGAGTTCTACGTAGACAGTTAAGGTTTGTGAATCATAATTCTGGCTTCCATTGCTAGAATTGTCTTTTATCTTACAGCTTTGAATTCTTAGACTATGTTTATATGTTATATCACAATAAACTTATGAAATTTTTACAGTATGGCCTAAATAATTATAAATATAGTTGAAACTGAGTAGGGGATGGAGGTTGGAGATTCCCAAAGGATAATAATTACTCCGTATGCTTAACTAAAGTATTTCATTAAAATTTGTAGGTACTTGCTGAATTTGTTAAGAACCGGCAATTTCCAAGAACAAAGAGAATGGGTGACAGTGATGAAGACGATACGTTCTACTACCGGTACTCCACCCCCACAGCTGCTCACTCTACTGCTGCCGCCTCGACCACCACCAAGCACAGCAGTGGAAGCGGTGGCTTGGCTCCCTCAAAGTCAACTGTTTATGTTAGCAACATCGATTACAACCTCACCAACTCTGACCTCTTCACCATTTTCTCCACCTTTGGAAAAGTCGCTCGTGTCACCATCCTTAAGGACCAAGCCACTCGCCGTAGCCGTGGCGTCGCCTTTGTCCTCTTCATCTCCCGTGATGACGCTGTTTCCGCTGCCCGCCAGATGAATGAAAAAATCCTCAACGGCCGAACCCTAAGAGCTTCGATTGCCTCAGACAACGGACGTGCAGCTGAATTTATTCGCCGTCGTGTTTATAAGGACAAGTCCAGATGTTATGAGTGTGGGGAGGAAGGCCATCTGAGCTATGAGTGTCCCAAGAATCAGCTGGGTCCCAGAGAGCGCCCTGTTCCTAAGAAGGGGAGGAGAGAGAAAGAGCAGAGGAGGAAGGAGGATGATGAAGAGGAGGGGAGAGAAGGGGATGAGGAAGAGGTTGCGTTTGAGGAGGATAATTGGGCTTCTGTGGTTGACAGTGATGCTGATCAAAGGTTGTTAATGGGGCATGAAGAACAACAGAGATTGGTGAAAGGGAAGAAGGTGAAGAAAGCTAGCTATTTCAGCGACGAAAGTGGGGAAGAGGATTGTACATATTGTATTTAGGGTAATTGTCAAAATGATCAACCACCTCCTTCTTTTCTTTAGATTCCTCTGCAATTAAATGAAGATTCACACTATTTTCTTGTCCTGATATAGTTGTCACATATCTACTTCAAGTCGCACTATTAGCGTTACAATTGATTGGGAGGTGCTGAGAAGAGAGGCAAAAGGCAGTTGCTCATTAGGCCTTCCTCAAAAGTGATTATCAAGTTTTTCATTGTCATGCAAAAAAACATGGGCGTGGTATGATCTTTTCATACAGCTGTCAATTTGTCATTACTGGCTCGGTCTCTTTGGGGGAATTATATTTAATAGGTCGTCAGTCCTTACTTTTTTTTTTGCTGTATGTATCATTAATTGGCTGTTGTGTGTTGCTTTCTACAGGTTACATTGGAGAATTTGAGTATGTCGATGACCGCAGATCCGGAAAGATAGTGATTGAACTGAATGGAAGATTAAACAACTGTGGTGTTATCAGCCCTCGTTTTGATGTTGGTTAGTCCACACCGGTTTAGATTCTTGAGAATGAGACTGAGTGTTGGAGTTATGACCCCTCAGCTTTCACCGGCACTTGGACTGGCCTTTCCGTAGTATGCTGGTATACGCTTTAAGAAAAAGAAATGGCCTTACCCTCCTCCTTGTCCTCCTGTTTAGATTTGAATTTGAATGGTTTGATGCTAAAATGATACCCCCATTTGTGGTATGCGGGGCATTCAATGTGGCACATTTTATGATCTGCAACATCTAGCAGAAATGAAGGCTGATGAATGTGGTATTAAAGGAAATTAGATGAAATATACTAGGAGCTATACCCAAAGCTCCTCACCAATCACCATATCTGGATTGTAGGGCTTGATTAACAGTTGTTTGCTGATAGCTGTTTGGACCCAAATCTGGTTATATGTAACGTTGTCCCCCATTATTTGTTTTACCCTATTCTTAAATTACAGTAAGGAAGTTTAATCATGTAGTACTTCTAGCAGGATATGTTGTGCAGATACTCACGCGGTTTAATTGTGTGATACTGTTTCTTAGCACTCCATAAACACGTTGTAATTACGCCTCATAAACACCTCAGAATTATTCCACATCACGTAAGAATTTACATGTATAGGGGTCAGACTATAGATAAACGCCTAATCCTGGAAACAAAATTGTTTACATGGACTATACTCATTCTTGCAAGAACTTGACAGTGGGACTTGCTAGACTCCTGTCTCCTGGTGCCATTTTCTCGCGTTGATTGGCAAGAGAAGTCCCCAATGTGCACCATTCATGCACATGCCAAGGGCAATTGATAGGCACATTCCTATTGAACAAGCCCTAAGTTGAAAAAAGACACTTTATACATGCATGCATAGTACACTCCATACAACCATTACCCCCTCCCTCCTTAAATACTTTAGGTAGATTCCAATTTCCACATAATATCAAACTATTGACTTGGCATAAATTATAAAATGAAATTAAATTATCAGAAAAGAAAGCATATAAGGAGACTTGTAATTTCCTTTGTGAAAACAGTAAAAATCTCGATTTGAAACACCTATCCTAGATTCCATTCCATTGATATTTGTAATAATTTTAAATGCTGCTTTAATTTGACATACATTCGTTTTCGTGTAATGTGATTTCGAGTCAAAAAAATTTCAGCTCTACTTTTGTGATTTATTGCCCTTGTATCTTTACTTGAGAACTAGTGGTATTACATTTTTTGTAAGATGTTTTATTCTTTTTGGAGCAGTCATACAATCATATTACAATAATTCAAGTAGCTTGCTTTGTGACAACTAACTAACTGATCTTAATAAGATAAACAACTTGATTAACTAAACAATATATGATAAAGCGATAGATGTTGAATATCTTAATTCATACTTATAACACTGCACCTTGTTTAATGCATACTATAGATTACCAATTGTTATCAAAAAGGATAAAATTGCATTATTTTGACCTTTTCAGGCTTTGTCATTGATGTTGTCCATGTTACAACTTTAATGTACACCCACCGAATCGACAATGCATAGAAGAATGAATGAATTTGAGTATTTTAAAATACGGCACACGTCAACATTAGAGGCCATGCCAATAGCTGTATATTGTAGCTACATGAAGTGAATTTATAGCAACTTCTTTTAAGAGTTTGTACTGTATGAGTTGCATTCTCACCCTTTTCTTTCTTGATTATAAAGCACTTTGTAAGTCCAATGCTCGCCGATCAAATCTCTTTGCATATCCTATTTGGGAAAAAGAGGAGTGTACAAATATAGAATACGTCATAAAATCTTGAATTTGAATGATGAGGAGGATCCAAAAATGGTGAGTTGTGCCTTATGCCGAGCCAATGTGCTTTGAGGTTAATTAGGCCTGCCCTACGGCCCAAGCCACGTACTTTGTATAGTGCCAAAATTTTCAAAAGGTCGCTCTTGTACAGCCCAAGCCTGTGTGCCACCATGTCGGGTCATGCTGTGCTTGTGTGTCTAAATTAAATTTTATAGAATTTAACATGCTATATTGTGCCATGTTAATCTGTGATGTGCCTTGTCGTCCTTCTCTTGAATAAAGGTGACCCATGTCCAAGTATGTATAATAACCTACTATGCCATGCCTTGCACTTTTTGTGATGGGACATATCGTGTTCTGGTCAGCCCAATCTAATGCCATCTTTAAAAGGATCAAGGGAAGCCCTTGTAAGAGTGTAAACTATGAGTTGTTGTGAGGAGGGAAGTAGGACTTCTTAGGTTTAAGAATAATTTTGTAATTTACTTGTTTATTGCCTTAACAAACTATGCAATTAAAAACATTATTTGTTACTTTCCAACCTATAATCAACCAATCATGTTTTAGAAAAAGAGCACTAATATGTGTCAAAAACACTGGCATTATTCCACTATGACAAATGAAAAAAAGCAAGAAAAGACCATCATATTTCGACTAAAAATTACTTGTATGATTTGCACAAGCTGGACAACCTTTTCAACATCACATAGATAGGAAGATGAGCACAAATGGTCAAATCCAATACCAGACAAAGTAAGGGTTGATGGGGGGTTTTAGGCAATAATTGTTCTTGACATGTTTCCTCTTGAACAGGAAGAACATGTGCATATCTCTTGTATAATTCTCTCACATGGAAGCCTCCAATTTTGCGCCTCTAGTAATTATTGCTTCCACCACTTAATCTTGGAAACCATGTTTTGAATTTCGATGCTAGAATCATGACTTAATTTAGTGCATTGAGTTTTGAGTTTGGGCTATATATTTTTAAATTTTTTGGTGTATATCAGCTCAATCATCCTAATTTGTAAACACTAACAGAGGTAGCTATTGGTTTCAACCAAATAACAGCGAAAATTATAAGTTTTTGAAAATTAGAGGTGGCGGTTGATTTTTTTTTTTCCCCAATAGTTTTAAAGGTAATAAAATAATCGTTAGTCAATCACTATTTTACTAAACACTCGTGATTAATTATTCCATTTATCTTCATATCTAATATTTTGTTAATAGTTATAATTACTCGACATCTGACATCCTCCTCTACAGCTGCATTTTTCCAAACACGCCCTCACTCTAATATCAATACTCCTTAACGATAATATCAATATATATGAGTTGTCTCCTTTGCATGCCCCCAGGCCCCAACCTAATATGGTCCCTAAGGTCCAACCACTTGAGTTAAAAGTTTCTATAAATGCTTCTCCATCTTTATTTCCATGATTTCACATTAACTATTATGAAAATGCCAGTTATCCCCAAGGCCCCAAACATCATACTAGTCAAACCATAATAGATGTTGAAAAAAATCAAAACAATACAGCATTTTATTCGTCCTAAATTCCTGTAATTGTACTTACCGGTGAATAATATTCACATATGATGAAATGTCGACAGTAGTTTATTTTTCTCCTTAGTCGAAACATAATAACAAATTGTCCAGGAAAATAACTCCGATCCATATGAAGACATTTAGTATTTTTTTTTTAATAAAAAAATACTTCTTTCATTTTTAATACTACCTCTGTTTCTTATTATGTGGAACAAAACGTATAATTTGTGATACATAAAATAATTGTTTTTGCACATAATAATAAACGGATATAATATATGTACAACATATATTTCGACATATATAAATTTTAAGATGATTAGTAGAGGTCAATATACAAATTAACTTACTTACTTACTCATTTACCTTATCTAATTTCGTTCTCAAAATACATGTTACACTTATAAAATTATATAAGTAGAGATACAAATATTATAACTAGCAAATTCAATCACAAGTCATCGCTTAAGAGTAGAGGGGGGAGGTAAGGGAATCTCCTACTCCCAAGCATTTTGTACTTGGTGGGGCTCGAACTCATGACTAGAGTTGGAATCTGGCTGGTAGCGGCCCGACACGGCCGAGCCCACTAGCGGCACGACACGATGAACGAGGGGTGGGCCGTGCCGTGAACAAAAAAAATAAAAATTCTGCATGAACCCGACACGAAATTTTGGCCCACTAGCAAAACCCATAATAATAAAAATAATTAAAAAAACTGTAAATATTAAAAATAAAAACAATAAAAATAAATATTATAAAAATAAAAATAATAAAATGAAACCATAATAATTTAATGAACTATAATAAATAATAAAAATAAAAATATTAAAATTATTTAATTAATAATAAAAATAGTGGGATGGCCCACGGCCCGGCACGACCCGGCTTGCCAGACACGTGGGCCGTGTCGTGTTGTTAACTGGGGTGTGCCATTTGGTGGCCCGGCACGGCACGACACGACCCTCCTCTTGGCACGGCGAGACACGGCCCACGGCGGCCCGACACGACACGATGTCTAGCTCTACTCATGACCTCAAAATCATAAGGTGAGTTTCCTACTAACTCCACCAAGCTTTGCTTAGCATTCAATCGCAATATTATCCACTTGTCTACTTTACAATGTCATACTTCGTATGAAGTAACCCCAAAAAAAAAAAAAAACAAAAAACTCAATTACCCAAATTGCCACCTAATCGGTAAGCAATGCTCCATTCATTGATTCAATTGAGGAGCACCAAAAAATAAACTTTCCTAATAATAAAAGAGGGCCGGTTCATCTGAATTTCCTTCTTTTCTCTCTCCTCTCTTTTCTCTCTGAACCAAATCGCCGATTTCGAAAAACCAGGAATTAAAGAGAGGATCGTCCAAGTTTTGGTCATCTTCAGAAATTTTTAAGCTCATTTTTTCAACTGTTAATTCATCCAAGTTTTTTTTTTTGGTAATTTTTTCTCTCTCTAAAATAACTTCTCTCTTTAATTAACTACATTTTCATGTGCGATCCATGATTTATCTCTCACATTTTCTCTCTGATCTAGTTAAATTTCTTCGACTTTTTCTTTTTTTTGTTGATTTAATTTATTTTTTTCGATTCGATTTTGATTTTGATTTTGTTGATTTTTGGATTTCAATTGCAGGAGAAAATTTGATTGAAAGTTTTTCTAGGGTTTCTGGAGGTGTTTAATTAATGGCTGCTCCACCTGCGAGAGCTCGCGCTGATTATGATTATCTCATCAAACTCCTTTTAATCGGCGACAGTGGTAATGTATCTATTGTTTGATTGAAAATGTGTTTTTTTTTTAGATCTTCGACTGTTTCTCAGTTTGCAATCGAATTGATTGATTCGTGACATTTGTGGCATTGTGTGTGTTTGGATGGATCTGGTGTGTGATTGTGAAAAAAAATGTGTGAAATTGAGTGCCAAATTATGTTGCTATATTCTAGTAGATGTTTGCATGATTTTTGATGATTGTGGAATGAATAGCTGTAGTTGAAATAGGAGAAATTTCAATTTGAATATGAATAAATTGATAAAATCATATGACCTTAGTTCAATTTGTAGATGACTTATTATTTGTTTCGTCTTTTTTGTTTGAGAAACTCATCTATATGTTTATCGCGTTCACTGTATAAATTCGGAAAGGATACACGCTTTGTTTGTTATGGAAGTACTTTTCCATAATTATTTGCTATGTGCAAATTGTTGTTTTAAAGAATTACGGTGAATTCTTAAAATTCTGCTCATTGCTCTAGTTGGTCTTTGGATTCTGCATTTCATGTATGAAAGGAACCTCCAATGACCAATTTGTATACCTGTGGTGCTCCATTTGATTGTGAGATATAGAAGAGAAAGAGTAAATAGACTGTCTTCTAAGTAGGTTTCATGCTGTTAGCAACTATTTTAAACCTCTGCTGTGATTTGTTATATCTGCATGATTAACCCTGTGTAGAATGTTTAAAGTGAGAACTCCGGGTTCTTGGCACCTTGAGTTATAAGGTTCACATTTCTGACACACTAGTTAAAAAGACATGATACCTTGATCTCTGCAGCCTTTATTGTGCGACGATATGCATTAGATATCTATATTAGTGTTTATTAATTATATTAAGAGTTCTGAAGCATATGATAGTCTTATTGGCATGGCTTTGAAATCATTATTTTTTCTCTGCTCGACATCATATGCAGTGAAATGCTTAAAAGTTATATTCCTTACTTAGTTATTCTGCTTTGTAACTGTTAAAATGCTGTCAAATATGTTATAAATTTTATACTACCTCCGTTAATTATTTTGTGCAACAAAGAGGTATTATTTACGAGACATAAAATATTCCTTTGTTGCACATAATAATTAATGGAGGCAGTACTTTTTTTAGTATCATGGATGTGTTTTCACCATGCCAATTTCATATGCAGGTGTGGGTAAGAGTTGCCTCCTCCTGCGGTTCTCTGACGGTTCCTTCACAACAAGTTTTATCACAACCATTGGGTATTTTATTACTTAGGTTCATGGGGTTTATTATTGCTGATTTGACAGATAAGATTTTGTACAGACTCTTTTGTTTGCTATAATATGCATTTCTTTGTGCAGTATTGATTTCAAGATTCGGACCATAGAGCTTGATGGCAAGCGGATCAAACTTCAGATATGGGATACTGCTGGTCAGGAGCGGTTCAGGACTATCACAACGGGTAATTGTTCAGATTTTGCATATGTGGTTAAATATATGTTTGTATGCATAGCAAGTGATTAGTTTGACACTATTGTGTTGGCCAATTTAAGTAAAATTGCTAGAATGTGCTTTTATTTTAGCATATTTTTCAATTACAATTATAGGTTTGTATAGAAATTATTAGGATTATATTGATTTTCTGCGCATACATCTGATAATAGTAGTATATACATCTGACCTTTTGTGTTTGCCAATTTCAGCTTATTATCGTGGAGCCATGGGTATTCTACTGGTTTATGATGTAACTGACGAGTCGTCATTTAACAGTAATATTCTCTCTCTCTCTCTCTCTTTTCTTTTTTTTTTTTTTTTTTTTTTCTTTTAAGCAATAGACCTTGGTTCTCTTTGATCATTGCATTCTGGAAGGCCTTCTCTTATGTTGTTTATAATTTGTGCTTGAGAAATCTGTCCATGTTACTAGCTATTGCTATTATTGGATGAGTCAATGTTTATTCATTTGACTAGAGATGAACTTCTTCCCTTTGAAATTAAGCCGCTTCTTGTTGCTTCTTTTTTCAGATATTAGAAACTGGATACGTAACATTGAGCAGCATGCTTCTGATAACGTGAACAAGATTCTGGTAGGAAATAAGGCTGATATGGATGAGAGTAAAAGGGTAAGGAATTTATTAGGCTTTTGGAGTTCAACTTGCAAAATTGCATTTTAGTTATGACTGCTTGGCCTACAAAACAAGCCTTCCAGGTTTCTCTGTGTCAATCATATTTCCTTTAACATTTCTTCAGGCTGTGCCGACAGCCAAGGGACAGGCTTTAGCTGATGAGTATGGGATTAAGTTCTTCGAAACTGTGAGTAAATGGCTTGGGATATGCTTTACTTAGCGTTGTATCCTGGTATGGTATAATTAGTTGGTTTTTTAAACGAGTATTATAATCCTTGCAGAGTGCAAAGACGAATTTAAATGTGGAGGAAGTTTTCTTTTCCATAGCGAGAGACATTAAGCAAAGGCTTGCAGATTCTGATACAAGGCAAGAGGTAGGATTCTGCATCTTACAGAATTTTTTAATTTTTCTTAGGTTTTGTTGCTGGTTGCTTTATGTATGTATGCAATGTTATTTGTAGGCTCAACCGTCAATTACGATTAAACCAGCCGACCAATCAGGCAGCCAAGCAGCTGCTAAATCAGCCTGCTGTGGTTCTTAAGGTTCCGGCAATTGATTGGACAAGGCAACATGTTCAGTGGAATTATGTGTGCAAAACAGATGAATCTGATTGTTATGACAATGTGATGGATGCTTGTAATATTTGTTACCATCATTCTTTCCTTAAACCTGTTTTAGTGTGCGAAAGATAGTTTTTAATCAACTAGTATAGTTGTTCCTGTGAGGCTGTGACACTTTTTTTTCGCTTTTCTTTTTGCTTTTGCTTGTCTAATTAAATCTTGTTTTAGCCATACATTGATACAAAGCCTCTATTCAATGATAGCTTTGCAAATTACCCTGTCCTTCTTACCATTTTTTTTCCTTTAAGACTAGCTTTGCAAATCATGTTAGTGTTTTGAGTTGGGATAATGTTTCTATAGAAGGTTTTCCATATTCGAAGTTGAAATTGATGCAAGGACTAATTAACCAAGCAATTGCCCTCACAAGGTTGTAGGGATTGTTGATTAGGAGTGTTCATAACCGGGTACCCGGAAATGCGGGTAGTGAAATAGGCGGCCCATTACCCAACCCGATAAAACCAGCCTACTTATTGGGTACCCGTTTTTACCAGGTCGGGTCACCGGGCACCCATTTTTTTTTTATTCAAGCTTTAAAATTATTAGATTGTGGTATAAAAACAAAGCAAAAACATATATAGCTACAATTCCATAATTTAATATTACAATAGTAAATCTGTCCATTAATTTTACTTTACAAAATCACAACAAAACTAATTTCTCACTTCTATCTTACGATGCTTAACCCTATCAAACTAATTCAAAAACTAATATCAAAACCTAATTTGAGTGGAATGAAAAACACGTAAGTAATTACAGTACTAAACTAATTAATAATTATAAAAAAAACCAAGCAAGCCTCATTTTCACCTTTACCAAAGTGATAATGTTTGTATGAGAGAAGTGTGTACAGTGGAGATCGAGCTTGTAGGCCGTGAAATAGAGGCAGGCAGTGAGATATGCGGCGGACTGGTCGAGATCGAGCTTGTGGTCGTGCGCGTGGAGCAGCAGCACCCGGTGTGATCTGCGGTGGAATGGTGGTTTGCGGTGGAGACGTGGAGCGGTCGTGGTTGCGGGTGGAATGGTGTGGTAATGTGGTCGTAGATCCAAGTATTTGTGAGTTCAAGTTCTCTCAACTGCTCAAGGAATGGAGAGAGAGAGAGAGAGAGAGAGAGAGTAAAGAGCGGCCAAAGCAAAAAGTAACCCACTACCCTTACATGTTTTCAATAAAAACCAAAAAAAAAAAAAAAAAAAAAAAAAACGGGTATTTAACGAGTACCCGGGTACTCAAAGTACGGCCCATTACCCGACCCGCAAAAATGGGAAAAATTTAAAAATTACCCGTTGGGTAGTTTTCGGGTCTTCG